TTGCTAATGGAATTTAAAGATGTGTTCAGTTCAGGGAAATACGACGTGGGTCGGACGACGTTGTTGCGGCATCGTATTGACACAGGAAACGCACCTCCGATCAGGTTAAATTCGCATCGTGTAGGTCCGCTTGAGAAAGAATGTATTCGGCGATCTGTTGATGAAATGCTAGAGCAAGATATTATTGCCCCATCGTCCAGCCCGTGGGGAGCCCCTATTGTCCTCGTTAAAAAACGTGATGGAACCATGCGATTTTGTGTTGACTATCGGGAATTGAATAAAGTTTTGGTGGCGGAAGCGTACCCGCTTCCACGAATTGATGATTCACTGGACGCCCTGTCCGGCGCCAGAATCTTTTCGACCCTCGATCTGTTGTCGGGCTTTTGGCAATTGCCCCTGGATGAGGAGTCAAGACCTAAAACGGCATTTCGGACATCACAAGGATTGTATCAATTTAACATGCTCCCGATGGGACTCCACTCCACGCCGGCGACCTTCCAGCGATTAATGGAACTCGTGTTGTCGGGCCTACAGTGGGAGTCATGCTTGATATATCTAGATGATGTGATTGTTTTCAGTAGGAATTTCGATTAACATTTGCAACGACTGCGCGCCGTTTTTGGCAGAGCGCGGCGCGCCGGATTGAAATTTAAACCAAAGAAGTGCCAATTGTTAAGAACATCGGTGAATTAATTGGGGCACGTTAGCGCGTCAGGAGTGGCCACTGATCCGGAAAAGACGAGTTGTGTGCGAACATGGCCAGTGCCGAGAACAGCAGGGGAAGTGCGTAGCTTTGTGGGCTTTGCGTAGTATTATCGGCGGTTCGTTAAGGATTTTGCCACGATTGCTCGACCATTGCATACGCTGACCGGGAAAGGTGTGAAGTTTCAATGGGGGATTGCAGAACAAAAATCGTTCGAAGCATTGCGGGCCGCATTGGCGGATGCATTGCCGTTGGGATACCCGGATTTTACGAAGCGATTTATACTTGACACGGATGCCAGTCATACGGGCATAGGTGCGGTTTTGTCACAGATGGTTGAGGGCGTCGAGACAGTGGTGGCATATGGCAGCCGGGTGTTATCGCCGGCGGAGCAAAAATACTGTGTGACGCGTAGAGAATTGTTGGCGATTGTCCATTTTGTTCGGCAGTACAAACCGTATCTGTACGGCAGGGAATTTTTGATCCGCACTGATCACGCGGCACTACAGTACTCGCTGCGCGTGGATCAGCCATCGGGGCAGATGGCTCGCTGACTTGAGACCCTCCAGGAGTACTCTTTCACGATCCAACATAGGAAAGGAACGCGCCATGTAAACGCGGATGCTTTGTCGAGGTTGCCGCGATCGGCTGAGACGTGTCGGTGCGCAGAGGGCTCGCTGCGTTGCAGCCCGCCGCTGCAGGAGGGTCCGCAAACGGTCACTGCAGCAGGTTCGGGAGTGCCAGGGATAAGTCCTGGAGCAGAAATTTGATTGTTGGGGTTGTCATTGAAACAGTGGAAGCAACTGCAGGTAGAGGATTCCTCGCTGACCAGGATGAGGCTGCGTGCCTCTCGTTCAAGGGGATCAGAGGATCGCCCATTTTTTATGTTGACGGAGGGGTTGCTTGTTCGCTGGGATGTGGCAGCACAAAAATGTTGTATTGTTGTCCCGAGGGTGTTGCGGGGGAAACTCATTAACGAGATACATGAGAAATTGATGCATTTGGGGGAGAAGAAGACCGCGTTGACAGTGGGGAATGAATTTTACTGGCCGGGAATGTTTAATGATGTGAAACAGCATGTAAAAGCGTGCCAAGAATGTGCGTGGAGGAAAGCGCCGGCACGGCCATATCGTGTTCCATTGCAATCGATTCAAGTTTCGAGAGTGAACGAAATTGTGGCACTAGATATTTTGGGTCCGTTCCCCGTCACCCCCCGAGGGCACAAATATTTGCTCGTCGGGGTGGAATACATAACTCGTTGGCCGATGGCATGGCCTCTAGTAGACCAGTCAGCGATGTCGATCGCTGAGGCTTTCTTGAAAGGGTACGTCTTAGATAACGGGGCCCCGGAACAATTGCTTACTGACCAAGGCAAAAAAATTTCATCGAAATTGATTAAAGACGTGTGTGACTCGCTGGGGACCAAAAAAATCCTGACGTCCCCATACCACCCGCAGACTGACGGGATGGTCGAGCGGCTGCATAGGACGCTGACGTCCATGCTTTGTCACCAAGTAAACACCGCTCAAGATGATTGGGACCTGCATGTTGCAGCGACGCTGGCCGCGTATAGATTGGCCCCGCATGCCTCAACGGGGTACTCGCCATTTTTTCTAATGTATGGACGGGAACCAGAAGCGCCGGCTATTGTTAAATTGGGAATTCGGAAGCGAGAGAAATCTACGACGGTGCCTGCTTCAATGCAGGTGGCTTTAGACCGTCTGAGGGAAGCCCGGGAGGCTGCATTGCAAAATACGGCACGACGACAAGCCGCTAACGAAAGATTGTTCGGCAGGCAGCGGCCACAAGAGCCGTGGAGTGTTGGAGATAAAGCCTGGTTGCACTGCCCCATGGTGCCGGTGGGAACGTCCCCGAAATTTCACTGCCCCTGGCAGGGGCCCGTTGATATTGTGGAGGTTTTACGGGATCAGAGTGTGCGGATAAAATTCGGTCGTCGGACATGGTTTGTTCACCCGTCACGCCTGAAGAAATTTGTGTTACCATATGATGCGTCATCCCCCATCCGAGAGCGGCCTGTATTGGATGTGTCCGACAAACCTGTGGGGAGGTCACAAGTGCACGTGTCCCAGAGATCTGCCCCCCGTGTGCCTGCAGCATCGCCCTTTTTGGGCAGGGTTACCGACCGGACGCCGATTGAACGGCCACAGATCCGGACCAATGGCCGTCCCGACCGGGAACGACGGACAGCCCCGCCAGCTGAGTGTCGCTGGGACAGGGATGGGCGTAGTGTTAATTGGCAAGACGAGCGAGGCCCTCCCTTACCGCAGGGTATCCCGTGCAGGAGAGATGGACCGGCAGTGGGAACCCGTTCCAGGAGGAATACAATACATTGACTTTGGCGGTTGGGAATGCTGTATAAAGGTGTTGTGTGCGTGTCGTTGCGTGATTGTACAAAATGGTTGTATATTGCAAATGCGTTATGTATATATGTTGTCATCGTTCCGTCCGCTTCACTCCACTACTCCAATTCGAGTATATCGTAGCCGGGGACGGCTAGGTTCTTTCATCACGGGGGGGGGGGGGGGGGGTGATGTAGTGGAGTAGATAATGCACATAGGAATTGGCCATATACTGTACATACAGACAGACAAGGAGAACGGGTCACACGAGGTCGAACAGGTGGTCGAGTCGCGAGTGGCGTAAACAAACCCCAGTAATTAAGGGAGTCGTGGCACGAGGGCTGTGATTGGTCGAGAGGCTGTTAGCGTTAAGTGGTGGCGTCTGAATGTCTGATGAAGGGGACAGGTGCGGGCTGGCGGGAAACGGCCAGCGAGCCACGTGGCAATTAATTAAGGCTAATGCGAGAGGGGATAAAACGCGAGGTGGTTTGAACGGAGGGGAGTTGCTGTTGGAGAGTCGTTGCTGGGCAGTTGTTGGCGAGAGGTGAAGAGATATGAAGAAGACAGCTGGAAATGTTAGGGAAGAATAGATAGAGAGCCGGACCCCAAAGACAGTAAATAGCGATAGGGAGAGTCAGCGTTAGCGGAGATAGATAGAGTCACTGTGTGTGAATAGATGGAAGTCACTGCGTGTGAAGAGATAGCGGCGATACTGTGTGTGAGGAGATAGAAGACGAACCACTGTGTGTGGAAGGGAAGTCACTGCGCGTGAAGAGATAGCGGCGATACTATGTGTGAGGAGATAGAAGACGAACCACTGTGTGTGGAAGAGATAGAAGACGAACCACTGTGTGTGGAAGGGAAGACACTGTGTGTGAAGAGATAGGCAAAGAAACACTGTGTGTGGAAGGGGATGCACGGACGATGCTGAAGTAAATCGGAGTGTCCGAGTTGGCGGAGCACGGAGAGAATTACTGTGTGTACGGAACGATGGAATAAAAGTGACGGCGAAAAAAGGGACGGTTGTCGTCCGAGTGAATTCACGGCGCTACAACTGTTACAACGCTGTGGGTGATCACGATATAATTTTCTCCGATACCAAGGTTCTTTGAAAACCCACGGGTTTTTATCAGAGATTTGTTCACGAGGCAATTCAGATTTACAAACACAGACACAATTTCAACCGAGAAGATGGTTTCAAATTAAGCAACCATTGGAAAGATATTCTAAATCGAACCAAACAGTAAACTAATTTTCAATGGTACAGTATATATTTTTTTTCAAGTAGTGGTACCCCAAACTTTCGCAGCTCTTAAAATTCCCTTTTCACACCATCGAAGTGTATACCCAGTTGCTGTTAATAGCTCAGCTTATTGAAGAATATATTGAGTACATTTATTATATTGATGTAATTTAGACTTAGTTTTTTACATCGGTTTACTGTATGATAGTTGGGTAGCACAGCCCCTTTGGCGTCCATGTACTAGGTGCCTCTGTGGATGTGTAAACTTTTACTTTAACATAGCTATTTCTGTGACCAGTCACAAGCTAATCCCTCAGCTATTTCAATGCTGAATTCTCCTGTTTGATATGTAAACTCCTTTGTCAAAGTGCCTCACTTCTCTCACCCAGCTTAAAAAGACGCCACGAATCTTAGCAGCGTTCATTGAAGCTCTGTCGTCCCGACAGTTCTGTTCCTTCACCTGAAGAAGGCTACTTGTGTTGTGGCTGAAACGTCGTGATTTTTGTTGTTTTATTTTTTACCTACGGGACTTTACCGAATAGAACCAAAGAGTATGGATCCTTGCAGTCACGAAAGCTTCAAATCTAGAACCTGTGTAATATTTACACAACCCATCGGCACTCGCCCACACCCTCATGCAATGTGGGGAAAAATCCCACAGAACCGGTTTGGCCGTTGAAAGGGAGAGGTGTCAGTCGTTTCTCGACGCCTCTCTACACAGCAGCAGCAGCGTTTTGCAATGCGAGGCTCTCTTGAGAGTTGCAGTGCCGTACAACTCCAAAGTACGTGAGGCAACCAAGAACAGAATAAGTCTGAGAGGAGATGGAGCGATGAAATCATCCCGTGTGCAGGTACTGGGATTCTCGCGTCGCAGATACGTGAGAGATGGTTATGGCTCGGGGAAGTCTTCATCCAGCAGTTGATCGCTCATGGCATGTGATGGTTAATGTTACGTCTCATGTTCTTAGCACGACACGTGTTGGAGTGACATGGGGCAGCACGTTTTAACACGTAGTCTTTCACGACCAATATCCATAATAGAGGTTTTTTGGGGTTAGATGGCATAAATATATAAATGTGTCGTTAAAACTTGTCACCACCCGACACATCCAACTAGTAAGGTTTGTCACGGAAACAAAACGTGGCCAATTCGTCACTAGTACAGCACACCGGTGTGTTGGAGTACTCAGATTAGATAGTTGTAATTACTGGCGAAACGTTGTACTTAGATTGTAAATGTTGTGGCTTGGCTCTCCAACACACCGGTGTGTGGTACTATTGACGAATTGCCATGTTTACGTAACAACCCTTACAAGTTGGCTGTGTTGGGTGGTGGCGGGTTTTAACAACACATTTATATATTTATGCGATCTAACCAACTTTCGTGACTGTAAGGATTCATCTTCTTTGGTTCTATCGGTAAAGTCACGTTGAATGAGAATAAAATAATAAATTGATAAAATAAAATAACACAATAATATTCTCACGACGAAAGAACCAAAGAAGATGAACCTCTTATGGGTCAGCACGTTATTTATTTGGGTATAAGCACATTTCAGGGGTTGAATAAAGGATGCGTGCATAGGCATTTTAACTATATATTTTATACTGCTGTGAAGAAGGTGCAGTGGTACAGCAATGGAGAAGGTCTAGTGGTACAGCAGTAGAGAATGTGTAGTGTTACAGCAGTAGAGACCGTGTAGTGGTACAGCAGTGTAGAAGGTGAAGTGGTACAGCAGTAGAGAAGGTGTAGTGGTACAGCAGTAGAGAAGGTGTAGTGGCACAGCAGTGGAGAAGGTGTAGTGGTACAGCAGTAGAGAAGGTGTAGTGGTACAGCAGTGGAGAAGGTGTCGTGGTACAGCAGTAGAGAAGGTGTAGTGGTACAGCAGTGGGGAAGGTGTGGTGGTACGGCAGTAGAGAAGGTGTAGTGGTACAGCAGTGGAGAAGGTGTAGTGGTACAGCAGTAGAGAAGGTGTAGTGGTACAGCAGTAGAGAATGTGTTGTGGTACAGCAGTAGAGAATGTGTAGTGTTACAGCAGTAGAGACCGTGTAGTGGTACAGCAGTGTAGAAGGTGAAGTGGTACAGCAGTAGAGAAGGTGTAGTGGTACAGCAGTGGGGAAGGTGTGGTGGTACGGCAGTAGAGAAGGTGTAGTGGTACAGCAGTGGAGAAGGTGTAGTGGTACAGCAGTGGAGAAGGTGTAGTGGTACAGCAGTAGAGAAGGTGTGGTGGTACAGCAGTAGAGAAGGTGTACTGGTACAGGAGTAGAGAAGGTGTAGTGGTACAGCAGTAGAGAAGGTGTAGTGGTACAGCAGTAGAGAAGGTGTAGTGGTACAGCAGTAGAGACGGTGTAGTGGTACAGCAGTAGAGAAGGCGTAGTGGTACAGCAGTGGAGAAGGTGTAGTGGTACAGCAGTAGAGAAGATGTGGTGGTACAGCAGTAGATAAGGTGTAGTGGTACAGCAGTAGAGAAGGTGTAGTGGTACAGCAGAGGAGGTGTAGTTTTACAGCAGTAGAGAAGGTGTAGTGGTACAGCAGTAGAGAAGGTGTAGTGTGTGTGACAGTCCATATGTGTGTGCGTCGATATGTGTCTGTGTACGTCCATGTGTGTGTGTAGATCCATGTGTCTGTGTGTGAGTCAATGTGTATGTGTCAGTTCATGTGTGTGTGTAAGTCCATGTGTCTTTTAGTCGATATGTGTGTCTTTGTAAGTCCATATGTGTGTGGAGGTCAATGTGTGTGTCAGTCTATGTATGTGTGTATGTGAGTCCATGTGTGTAAGTCTACGTGTGTGTGTGAGTCGATTTGTGTGTGTAACTAAAAGTGTGTCTCTTCAGTCGATGGCTGTGTGTGTGAGTCCATATGTGTGTGTGTGCGTGTAAGTCAATGGGTTTCTATGTGTGTGTGTCGATGTCTGTGTGTAAGTCCATGTGTGTGTCTGCCTTTTCGCCCGGGAAACGCCGGGTACTTACCGCTAGTTTCATATAAATGGCAACAATATCAAGTAAATTTTGATTTAAAGCTTTCGTGACTGCAGTAATTCATATTCTTAGTTTTTTCGGTAAAGTCACGTTGAAGAGAAACAACAAAATAACAAAATATATATAAAACAATAAAAATTCTCACGATGATGACCGTTTGAGTTATGGTCGAAACGTCGTGAGAATTTTTATTGTTTTATATATATTTTGTTATTTTGTTGTTTCTCTTCAACGTGACTTTACCGAAAAAACTAAGAATATAATATCAAGTAAAGTCAATGATATAATGCAATACTCGCAACTCCAGAAATTACATTCCCATCCATCATGTTTAACAATAATATATTTTATTATTTTATTGTTTCCCTTCAACGTGACTTTTGCCGAAAGAGCTAAGAATAATAATATTCATATCCACTAATATGGTTGACACAACAATCCTATTTCAGATTGAGCACGGTTGGCTACATACGATGCAAAACAAGTTCAACATACTCATATACGAGGCAACAAAGCCTTTCTTTTCCGTGCCACATTCTTTTTTTAAATCGGAAACAATGATTACTGTACAAAGTACAAATTCGGCCAAATTTGGAATTGTCGCATTTGGGTTGGAGCTCTCAGTTCCTGCTTCAGTCGTCAGTCACCTCCTTATCACTCTTCTATCGCTACCACTATCATTTTTAGTGTTCCCGTGAACTTCACTCATCGATCCTTCCATCCATGTTGAGGTCTCGGTCTACCAGAATGCCCCTGTTGTCTCATCCGTTCTCTCTTCAATCACCACACTGCAGGTCACACTCACTCAACGACCCACTCAAGGCAGATGTCATGACCATAGATGAAACATCTGTTACGTCGTGTTCACGATGTAATTTTGAAATATATTAACCATCATTACGAGCATTGAGTCTTTGCTAGCCCGTTCATCTGGGCACTCTGGCTACTTGATTCCATACTCTTTGGTTCTATTCGGTAAAGTCACTTGACTTTACCGAATAGAACCAAAGAGTATGGATCCTTGCAGTCACGAACGCTTCAAATCTAGACTTGATTCCATGTACCTATAGACTTGCCAATGATCTACAGTCGCCTCATCGGATGAACTTTCCTTCTATTACTCTTTTTCATTATTTTATTGGGCGTTCTGCTACCCAACCATGAATCCTTGACTGAGGAGGCATGGTTTATCCCCCTTTAGTTATCAACAAATTACAGTCTCACTATGGTATTGTTGGCAACCTATTGGGATATTGGGCGTGTGCTCAACAACACAATCATTTGATACTACTTCATTTGCAACCACCATCGAGCATTGTCTTGACCTGATCCTATAATTCGAAATAATAATCCAGAGTGATTTTATTTTCAACAGATGCTTGCAAAGAATGCAGCAAAACATCGAGGCCTGTAAATTAAGGTCGCACTGTCTGGATTCATATTTTGAGCTGGACACGAGCTGGACAAGCGACGGAGGAGTTTGAGCATCTGCGGCGTGGAGAGCGGAGTATCATGACCTCGCGGAGAAACCCAACGGGGCTCACGATGGGAGTAAAACTTCTCCTCATGGTGAGGACGACCACTCACATTGTCTCAGTCATTTGTCAGTTAAAGGGTTCACGTGTCGCTGAGGTCCTGGATTCATATCAAGGTTTCAGCCACCTGCGGTTTAACCGGATACTCAAGCCCTGTCACCAACGACTTATATCGAAATCTGTATTTCTATATTGAGATCCATTTATTCGCGCAGAGACACAAAGATTCACAACAAAATGCTTGGGCTCACACAAAGATGCATACTCGCACGGATACCTATGCCCTTCTATGGAGACCCATAGAGTGACATAGAGTCACATAAACTCAGAGAGTGACACAGAGGAATACAATTATACAGAGGCACCGACTCGCATAGAGACAAATATAGGCTGAACTGTGACTAAACCAGGTTTTCAACTCACCTCCATACATGACCACTCCCTTCCACACAGCACCAATCACCTCTACACCCCATCACTCATCAGCATACAGCAACACCCTCTTCCACACCCCACCAGTCACATACACTCACCACCACAGCACCACTGACCTCCCATACGGTCCCCAAATGTCTCCATACCCACCCTACATCAACTTGTAGCACCACTACCCTATCAACGCGTTGTACATTGCAATTGAGAGTTGACTGCATGTTATTAAAATTTATGGCACCACACAGCCGCCTGTGAATGGCCAATAAGTTTCCACTACACCACGGTAGCTCCTTCAATTGTCGGTTATAAAAGTAAAACTGTTTTGATTATTTTTCAAGACATTTATGCGTTTGGTAATCCAGTAACTTTTTTATTCATCCATTTACTGGTAATGGAAAAATAACTGATTTTAATTAGGCTAATATAGAGAGAGCTGACGTACATCTAGGAGACGGTCTACTGAGATGTAATACCTATTGGCTTGTTCTTGTACCATATGGCAAGACAGTAAATTATACGTTCAGTGTTAAGTTTGTGAACTTCAGGAAGAGAGATGGGAGTGCAGAGGTAGGAGAGTGGTTTGATGGGAGGTAGGAGACTGCATGGAGGGGAGAAATGGTGAGATGAGTAGGGACGAGTAGGAGAGTGCGTGGCGATGAAAATAGTGAGATGAGAGGGGAGAGGTAAGAGACAGGGGAAAGATCATGACGAATAGAACAACAGTCGCTGCAATATTTCAGTGAATCTGAGATTTGGCAGAAAGCCAGTGGAGAGAATGCAGTATTGGCGTGATGCGACCACGTTTGTGTCTATGGTTGAGGAGCTTTAGAGAATCATTCTGAATCATCTGTAACCTGGACCATGGAAGAAGGAGTCACAGTAGTCCAAGCAAGAATAACGGCATGGATGAGAGTCTCAGCAGGCAGTGGATCTAGACAATGCTGCATGAGTGCAATGTTCAGTGGTCAGAAAATAATGTGGCTCCTCAGAGCCCAGCAAGTTTGTCTCTCTGCACACAACAATCTCTGTGTAATCCACCAATCATACTTGGTATGGAAAGCCAATAGGCCAATAGACTAAACCGTTACAATAGTTTTACATCTATGTGAAAAGAGATTGTAGCTTTGTGTATCGTTGCGTTTATCTTTAATGTTTCATGCCAATTCATGATGAGGGTATACACTTCATTAGTTATTGTGTTGACCAGGGCCCAATAGTTTATATGTAGTATATTGCTCCATTTGTTAAAAAGCCTGCCTGCTGATGTTAACCAGAAGTTCAAAACCGCTCCACAGTGTTCTTGCTTTAACAAATACAACTGGGTAGAATTTATCTTCTTTGGTTCTTTCGGTAAAGTCACGTAGAATGAGAATAAAATAATAAAATAAAACAATAAAATTCTCACGACGTTTCGGCCACAACACAAGTGGCCTTCTTCAAGTGAAAGGAGCAAACCTGTCGGGACGACAGAGCTACAATGGATTTGCTCCTTTCACCTGAAGATGGCCACTTGTGTTGTGGCCGAAACGTCGTGAGAATTTTATTTTTTATCTTATTATTTTATTCTCATTCTACGTGACTTTACTGAAAGAACCAAAGAAGATGAATCCTTGCAGTCAAGCTTTAAAAGGATATAATTTGTCTGAAGAGCCAACAGGCTGATGGATCTTAATATATTTGCTGAATTTGTGAGGGAAATTAGGGTATTTGTTGCATTCCTGGTAACTGCTAAAACATAAAATAACTGATTGTCACTTTGCAACAAATATATAAATGTCAAGGGCACGAAGATTTGTACTTTTTTAACTGATAAATTAAGGGGGCTGTCATGGTGTAGTCGTGAGCACACTGAACATTCCATACAGTGGTCTGTGGCTCAATTTAAATCTACACCACCACCTCTGTCCACCCAGCAGTGTAAATGAGTTCATCGCAGTTAAGTCTGATCGTCAGGTCTCAAGTTATTCATAAGACGATATATACACATCCTTGATAGGATAAGATGATGTGATGGGTTGAATTGGGAATTCCCCTACCTCTTCCAAGACGTTTGGTGAGCATGGAAGGGTCGACAAATACCCCCTGGAGCTCCCAGTAGTTGAGGCCCTTCCACCAGCCGTGACAAGGACAGGCGTGAAATTGCAAGATATAGAAAAGCATGACAGGAGTGCAAATTATAGGCAACATAAACACATCACAAGGTAACTCAGCACCTGGCCTACAAATGGGCATTAGTCTGTCAGTCGGGGGCAATGATTGGTGCTTTCCCCAATTGAGTATAGCAGGTAATTTACATTTGGCAAATTTAGATTGTGGCACGTCATACAATGGCTGGCTCCTTTCAAATTACGTATGTTGGTTGAACTTCTTTTACACCCTACGCATCCAACCGTGCTAATTGAAGGTGCGAATGTCAGGGCATCTTTAATATGAGTGAAGCAGACGGCGCATATTTATGATTCATTTAGCTGGATCGTATTGCTGTTCAGTTCCTCCGCCTGATTGCCCAATCATTCTGTATGGATCCGTTCTGCAGATCTCTTTACTGCACAAATTGTCTCTTGCCAAGGAGTGCGGTGATGGATTCTACAAATCACAACGAGGCATCTGTTGTGAGCTGTGCCCTGCAGGTAAAGCAACACAGACGTGGCCATCCAGGGTCATAACACTTCCCTCCCCTTGGCATTCGATTGTCACGGTAACAATGAAAACAGCAGAAGTCCGTGGAGAACTTTTCATGACTTTGCAGACAGGTTGAGAACCGTTGCCCTACCCCTACTGCTGTGTGAAACAAAAAGCATGGCACTCAGGTGCCTGTTTGGTGGCCAGGTTGACGCACTACAGATGTGTGAAGGAACTCCAATTGGGAGTGCCATTCCAGTGGCCCCACCAGACGGGTTAATTTGTAATAAATAAAAAAACACAACAATATGCATCGAGTTGATGCATTGTTCCTAAAAGGCGCGTGCTTAAAGTTTGTCCACTCTGTCTCCCAAAGAATCAGTTCCTGCTTGGACGTTTAGTCCAGCACCAATACAAAAGTGAGGTATTTTGTCTTGGCCTGCTCATGCTGCGTTGTCCTCCAGGGACATACAAGATGTTCGACTGTGCAGCTAATAAAAGGAGAGCGAGGTGTGATCTATGCCCTGAGGGCAGCTTCATGAGCAGAGTCAACCATGAGGAGAAGTGTGCACCGTGCAGCAGTTGCGGACAAGGTAAATGACAGCACAGCAAGTAGGTTACTGCCATATCTGCATTGTGTGCTTTTGAGATGTATCTCTTTGTATGCATCATATTCCAATAGTGCCATCAGCATCTTGTAATAAGGCAGATAAGTTATATTTGGGGTGTACAGTGAAGAAACAAAACAGGATATCAAACAGACCAAGATACCAGCAGTGCTGATATCCTGGTTTGTGAATCTGTAGCAATTAATAATGTCCTGCCAATGACACATTCTCGGGTATGTAACTGATCTCATCAGATATCAGAAGCTAAACAAGTTTGAGGCTGGAAAGTGCTTAAGTGGGGGTCAACCATGCATAGAACTCGTGATATAGACCGCTACAGGGCTACGTACTGAGGAGTGCAGCAAAATCAATTGGACTGTATTTTTTTCTGTAGTATTTTCCTACATCTATGTTCCTCACCTTTACCAACCTGCTCTGTGTGGTGAAGTATGAACAAACAACCTCAACAGGGGACAAAGAGGACTATATTTCTTGGATGTTTTCTCAGGTACATATTGGATAACATGAATATAACCTCTGAAAATGGTCAAATCACAGTCGTCTGCATTCCGCCAAGGGTTGTCAAATCAAAACTGGTAACTATTTTAGCAATTAATTACCAGATATGTGGCCTACTCTTCCAAGAAGACCAGCTATCTTGGAAGAGGTTAGCATACTATTTTGTTATTGCCCAAGACAGCCCCTCTGGAGGGTATTTGGCCGACTGCCACACTGCCCAGACGTCTTGGAAGAGGTATTCCACCTCTCAATGGTAACTCCAAGGGTGTTAGTGTAGTGTTGTAAGGACGAGCAGACTTCTTATGGAGGCACACTCTGTTTATTGTATTATTTCCTTATACAATGCTTAACACACACAGAGGGATATTCGGTCCCCTCACCCGATACCCTAGGGAGGTACAGCCTCCGGACTTGGCGGGACTCACACGTCTACCGCTAACCTCCTTGATACCTAAGGAGGTACAACCTCCGGACTTGGCGGGACTCACACGTCTACCGCTATCCTAGTCCTCCGGCTAGGACCTAGGGGAGGCTATCTGACCCACCGCTGGCCCGGTGGGTCCTGACCACTGGGTATGCCGAGCCTTAGCCCTTAGAAGGGCTGAAAGGCTGGTCCAGGGTCCTAGCTAGGCTTCAGCCCAGTCTTCTGTCTTCGTGCAGGGAGAGAACTCCTCGAGGTCCGTTGGGTCACCCGTCTTATACCCCTTCGTGGCCAGGTAGAACCAATCATACATTCCCACGTGGAACCGTCTGATTGGTTCGCACCAAACCCTGGCCACGATCCGTTTCACCTCAACTGACCCCAACCGTTGTACCCAGGGGTAATGCTGCACCGCCCTGGTGGCAACGCGGGTTACGCAACAGCGCGTAGTTAACACCTCTACATCACCCCCTCCTTCGGAAGCTCCAGCCGTCCCGGCTGCAACAATGGGAAACTTTGAAATTACCAACGGTAGAAGAATTGTGAGTGTGCCTCACGAACAACAAGAACAATTAAGCCCCTATAAATACCCCCCCTTAACAACATAACGTATGTACAAGGCACAAGACATGCCAAAATAACATAACAACCGGCGAGATTTCGCGCGCGTGCGTTTCGCGGGGCCATCGTAGGGGATGGCAGGCTTTGTCGGCGGCACAAGGGAAGGAGGAGGATGAGCCAGAGCATCCGGTGGGCCTTTAGGCATCTCCACGGGGACACGTGCTGCTCCACGGTCCATTGAGGCCGAACGTTGGCCTGCATGGAGCCGTCACTCCCACGTCATCTGCAGGAGGAATAACACGCCTGCGCTGTGGGTTAGGCACCAACGGGGCAACATCCGGCTCGTCGGACGCGTCGCACACTCGGCCCCCATGTCGTGTGTGTTGTGGAGGGACGCGTGGCGTGACGAAGGGTTTTAACCGAGAAGGGTGAACGCACCAGCGACGCCGTCCCCAGCTAATTTTAACACATTGGGGACGCAGGACTTCCACTACCTCAACCGGGCCTCGCCATGGTCTGAGGAGTTTGGCCGATGTGGACACCGGCACCTGGGGGCAGTGGAGCCATGCCCTGTCTCCCGGTGCCCACCGATGCGTGTACGACCGAGGGTCCCGCAGTCGCAAATTCGCCCGTTGGCGGGAAGCCGAATTTTCAATGGCGGCCTCCCGTGCCTCGGCCAACTTACGGAGGTTGAATCGCAAGTGGTCAACGAGCTTTGACTTTTGCGGTGGCTGTTCGATTTCCAGCCGAACGTCGGCGGGAGGAAAGGCATCCCTGCCGTACATTAGAAAGAACGGGGAAAATCCCGTCGCCGCGTGAGGTGCCATACGGTATGCGGCGAGGACCCCCGGAACCTGCAAGTCCCAATCGAGGTGGGATTCATCGACCTGATGGCATAACATAGCGGTGAGAGTTCTATGAAGGCGCTCCACCATGCCGTCGGTCTGGGGATGGTAGGGCGAAGTGCGCACTTTCTTAGTGCCCAACAGGCGGCACACATCAGTCAGCAAGGCTCCTGAAAAATTTCTTCCCTGATCGGTCAGCAACCGTTCTGGTGCACCCTTGTCCAGGACGTAGCCTTGAACAAAGGCGTCCACAACGGCCGCCGCCGACTGGTTGGGGAGGGCCCAGGCCATAGGCCACCGTGTAAAATACTCTACCCCAACCAGAAGGTACTTATTACCCCGTGGCGTAGTAGGAAAAGGGCCCAAAATATCAAGAGCCACCAACTCATTTATACGAGAGACCGAAATGGGTTGCAGGGGTGGGCATGCCGGTTTAGCCGGCGGTTTACGTTGCGCACAATGGGTGCATCCCAGCAAAATGTCAGTGACGTCGCGCAGCATGCCCGGCCAGAAAAATTGCAACCGCAACAACCCAATGGTCTTATGAACACCCAGGTGCAATAAACGCTCATGCGCCGCCCATACGGCCTTGCATCGCAAGGCGGATGGCACGACGATTTTATGTTGACACGAGTCAGCATCCCAATGCATCAACAAGCCGCGCTTCATGACAAATGAATTAAATTTGCCCTGTCTTGGAACCGCATTATTCGCGTGGCGACGCAACCTCAATAATGACATGTCCTCGCCCTGGTGCCGACCCCATTCGGCCAAAGTTAGCCCCAGCAAATCGTCACTGGCCATTGGATCTGCATGATCCAACATCGGCGCTGAGGCGGCGGGAAGTGCGGCTGACACCGTTGTGAGAGGCGCGACCTGCGCAGGCAGTGGCGGCTTACAACGGCCCGAGCCCAAAAAACACGCACATTTTTGAGCCGGCGGAAGGCGAGACAACGCATCGGCATTCGTGTGTTGTGCACCCCTACGGTAAGTGACATTGAAATCGTAGTCCTGAAGGACTTCGAGCCACCGAGAAAGCTGCCCGGACGGTTGGTCAACCCGAAGAGCGTACTGTAAAGCCGAATGATCAGATCGCACGGTAAAATGCTGACCATACAGGTACGGCCTGTATTGCTGAATAAAAAAAACAATGGCCAGCAGCTCACGTCTGGTCACACAGTATCTTTGTTCAGCAAGAGACAAGACTCTGCTACCATAGGCAACAACCCTTTCAATGCCATCAACTTTTTGTGACAGAACACCCCCAATCCCCGTATTGCTAGCGTCGGTGTCCAACACGAATGGCACGGAAAAATCGGGGTACGCAAGGGACGGTGCCGTCACGAGCGCGTTCCGCAAGGAGTCGAACGCAGCCTGTTCTGCGTCCCCCCAATGAAACGCCACCCCTTTTGACGTAAGGGCGTGGAGCGGCTTGGCAATCGTCGCGAAGCCAGCAACAAACCGGCGGTAGTACGACGCAAAACCAATAAAACTACGAACATCGCCCGCAGATGTAGGGGTCGGCCAATGTTGAACACATTTGGTTTTTTCAGGGTCGGTAGAAATGCCCGAGCGGCTAACTATGTGGCCCAGATAGCGCACAGACTCACGCAGAAGGTGACACTTCTGCGGCTTGAATTTCAAGTTAGCGGCCCGCATTTTCAAGAAGACAGCACGCAACCGTTCGATGTGTTCGCCGAACGTGCGGCTAAAGACGATGACGTCGTCAAGATAAATGAGACATGAGTCCCACTGGAGCCCAGCGAGGACCAGCTCCATGAGCCTCTGGAACGTCGCTGGGGCCGAGTGGAGACCCATGGGCAATCTATTAAACTCGAAAAGGCCCTGTGGTGTCCGAAAAGCAGTCTTAGGTTTTGACGATTCGTCGAGGGGGAGTTGCCAAAACCCCGACAGAAGGTCCAAGGTGGAGAAATAGTGCGCCCCTGCCAGGGCATCCAATGACTCGTCCATACGAGGGAGAGGGTAGGCGTCCGCTACCGAGATTTTATTTAGGCGCCGAAAATCAACGCAAAAACGGAGACTGCCATCGTGCTTTTTGACCAGCACTATTGGAGCACCCCAGGGACTAGTGGAGGGAGAAATTATATCGGCCTTCAGCATGTCATCCACAGCCGATTTAACATGCTGTTTCTCCGCCGGGCTAAGCCGAAACGGGTTTTGTCGAATCGGGGCAGCGTCACCAGTATCAATGTGGTGACGCAGCAGCTTGGTGCAGCCAATATCAAATTTAGATTTACTAAAGACATCGGAAAATTCTCGCAGAAGAGCGCGCAATTTAATTCGCTGCGAATGAGACAGATCACCCGTGTCTGTGCAGAGCGCGTCCAACCATCTTTCATCCGATTTGGAAGGAGGTGGGACCTGCGGCGTGTCACGCACGTGTCCCGCGACTCCGGTCCCCAACGGCACCGGGGTCGCGTGAGCGAGCACAGTTCCTTGCGGAATGACGGTTGTGGACAATCCGACATTCAAAACCTGCAAGAACGGCTCCCTGTCGGCTGCTACGAGGGTCTGTGCAGCCACCAAATCTAACCCCTTAGCAGCTGCGTTTGAAGGCCCCAGCAAAATGCCATGTGCCGAGGCCTCCGGGGCTAGCGGTTTTTTAAGTTGCAAGGGCACGAGCATTTGTGTCCCTGGCGGAATGCGGACTGTGCTCGCAACACACGCCTGCACCGAGGCACTAGCCATGCGCGGATGTGAGGGTGTGGGCAAGAACGCCATCCGTCGACCCGACGGGAGTTCGATGCAGCCTTGATCTACAAGGATCTTAATAGGCATTTTCGCGAGAAAATCAGTGCCTAACAAACACGGCACGGCGAGGGAAGAAGAGACCAAAATAGGCCCTGCCAATTTAATGTCTCCAATCGAAATTTGCGCCCGAATTTGCCCAATAATGCCAAGTGAACTGCCATTAGCGGCGAAACACGGGATAGAAACCCGTTCCAAGGGGCGGCATCGTACGGGCAGTATATTGTAAATCAGATCCGAAATGATCGTAGCCGACGCACCAGTATCGACCAACACGCGAAATTCCACACCCTCGATTGATCCGACAACCACGGACGAACCTGCCGTCGCCGCGACTACCCTATGGGCCAACTCAGACCACTGCCCAGGTCCGAGTGGCCGCGAACAAACGCCAGAATACCCCCCATCACACGCCGAATCGCGAGCCCTTCTTATGGTGCGTTGCAGTGTGTATGGTGTGAATGAGGGCCGAGCGTGAGAGGCGTCGCGACTTGCCTGGTTTTGCCGCGATGCCGTGGACGTCCTGTAGTCCTGGCCCCGGGATGCGGAGGGGCGTCGTCGAGGCGCACGGCAGTCAGAGGAGATGTGGCCTCGTCGGCCACAGTTGAAGCACGTCAAGTCGCCGCGTGGAGCAGGCCATCCCCGCTGCTGGTCGTTGCGGCGACCAGCGTGGTCGGACGATCGCCGGCCCGTTGACCTGGTCGCCATGAAGGCCCGGTCGGGGGAGAACTCGGCATCCCTGCTGGCAGGCTCCGACGTCGAAGCCGAGGCGGCGATGGTCGATTCCGTGTGGAGCAGCAGATGTGCGTGGATGCACCGAGCGGCTCGTAGCGAGCACATACCGTCGTCGTCCACCGCTTGGATGACGATGCGCAGCTCGCGCGCCAGCTCCAGCATTTTCTGGAGAACGATGGCATTGATGGCCTCGTCGTCCATGCGAGGGTAACCCGCTCTTGCCATCGCCAGTAGAGCGGTCCGGAATGCCAACGGAGACTCTTTAGGGCGGCGTCGCCTGTCGTAAAATCGGCTGCGGACGTCAGATGGAGGCCCGTACACGTCGGACATCCGTCGAAGGGCCGATTGAAGAGTCACCCTTTGTTGCCTGGGGATGGTGAGGAGCGAGGCGAGAGCGTCGTCATCCAAAGTGGCCGGTAGTGCTCGGAGCGCCTGTGCGTCCGACCAGCCTACCATCTCTTGGTGGCTCAGGAAGCGACGCTGGAACGCTGCCCAGTCGCCCCCTTCAGATGTGAATTCTCGGAAGATGGGCAGGCGTTGTTGGAGAGCGGACGTCGTCTCCCCCTCAGCTTGTACCGTCTCGAGCCGGAGATCGGCGATTTCCCGGCCGATCGAGTCTACTGTACCGTGTCGGTACAGTGATGACGCGGCGTCCGCTGGGAAACTTGAATTCGCAGCGTCGCGTGCTGATGACGTTGCGGGTTGTGATGGGCCCCCCGCGTTCCCAGGATGCCCCTGGCTTCCGCTTCCGGCGGAATCACGTGGTTCCCCGGCGGGAAAATCAAAATGTCTGCCCTGGCCGATGGCGGGAACGTCTGCCGGCGGTTGACTCGGCCTGCCCGCAACCTCCAAGTTGATCTCTTCGAGAATGGAGGCCGCGGCGTGTAGGAGTTGAGCGAGACGGCCGTGTGCTGCCCTGAGTCCGTCCCCCATGGCAGGGGAAGCAACCGGCTGCTCAACCGGTGGCTGGGCGGCCGTCAACGCGGCAGCGTTTTCAGCGGAGCAGCCGGTGCATGCAGGTGAGACAGCATTATCTTCGTTCTGGCTCCGCGCGTGGGCTGAACTTCTGGTTTCCATTTCCAACCACTTCTGACTCCAGTTGTAGTGTTGTAAGGACGAGCAGACTTCTTATGGAGGCACACTCTGTTTATTGTATTATTTCCTTATACAATGCTTAACACACACAGAGGGATATTCGGTCCCCTCACCCGATACCCTAGGGAGGTACAGCCTCCGGACTTGGCGGGACTCACACGTCTACCGCTAACCTCCTTGATACCTAAGGAGGTACAACCTCCGGACTTGGCGGGACTCACACGTCTACCGCTATCCTAGTCCTCCGGCTAGGACCTAGGGGAGGCTATCTGACCCACCGCTGGCCCGGTGGGTCCTGACCACTGGGTATGCCGAGCCTTAGCCCTTAGAAGGGCTGAAAGGCTGGTCCAGGGTCCTAGCTAGGCTTCAGCCCAGTCTTCTGTCTTCGTGCAGGGAGAGAACTCCTCGAGGTCCGTTGGGTCACCCGTCTTATACCCCTTCGTGGCCAGGTAGAACCAATCATACATTCCCACGTGGAACCGTCTGATTGGTTCGCACCAAACCCTGGCCACGATCCGTTTCACCTCAACTGACCCCAACCGTTGTACCCAGGGGTAATGCTGCACCGCCCTGGTGGCAACGCGGGTTACGCAACAGCGCGTAGTTAACACCTCTATATTAGCATGAAACACCAGCCTATCAGCTTAACTATTTTACGTTTTGTATTTTTAATAAGTAATTTTTCTTAAGTTGAATAGTCAATGTGAGAATATATTGATGTTTCACGATACATGGTATTGTGCGGGGTGGACAGAGGCATTTGTTTTTACATTTGTAATAAACGACTATCACGACAACTGTTGATTGGCGTCTTTTTAGTTATAGAATCTCTGCACATCTCCACTCTCTCTTCCTCTCTCCTTTCCCTTTCTCTCTCTACTGCCGTTGACGAGCCGTTCTATGTCCACCGTCGTGGCACGCCTCCCTCTCTCTCCGATACTGCCGCTGGCTGTCGGCGTGCCGGGAGGAGCGGCTGCTTCGCTGGGAGTTCACCACATGGTCGTCGGCGAGGAGAGGTTGAGCAGCGATGCAGTCCTGACCCGACGCTTCCCACACCGACCCCGAGTCCTCTCCTGCCTCCGCTTATATCCCTCTCGGCGGAGCTAAGCTCCACCTTCAGCCACGCCCCCTCGTGGAACCCTGCCGATGGTTCCCGTTTATTCTCTCCAACTCTGCCCGTTACGTTTGGCCCAGATGGAATCCCCGCTTAGGATTGGATACCGATTACCCAGCGGTGGCCATGCAGGAACCCCTTGTAACCTCCTAGATGGCGCTCTCTAATTACACAGTGATAATTATTAATGTAACCAGTGACCTCTGGCTTACAAGTTCAGTGTGCTAACCTTGCACAGCAGTGGTTACTTTTCTTTCCCAGTCTTAAATGGTATGCTTATTGTTATAGATATTTCTATATGTGCAGCAAACTGGCAACCATTGTTTTCTCTCATTCAGTGACTGATGATGCAAAAACAAAACTATTAAATTGACTTTGGTTTGAATGGAGAGGTTAGTGGTTTGATGTGATGCTTCTCATTGCAGATGAGGAGGTGGCTCACAACTGCTCCGTGGCCCAGGACACCGTGTGTCAGTGCATTCAGGGGCTCAAGAGAGACCCTGGCTCAGGGATTTGTCTCCATGAAAAGCCCCACACAGGTGAGCTAACCAGCCACTGGAACCGGTGCCATCAGTTATGCAGTAGAGACGTTGATTTGTTATCTTGACAGTCAAAGCAACAACAGTCTGGTAACTGAAATAGCAGACGCTCGCTGCATAGGAATGAAGGCAAAATACAGACTCGTGTTTGAATGTGAATATGACCAAGAGTAACTGTAAAATTATCTTTCTTGAAAGGTGAAATCCAAAACAGAATTCATTGTGCACGTTTCATTTACAACTCACAACTTTGAGACAGCATCATCACCATACCTAGCATCGTCTTTATCACTATCAGTAGCAGAATCAGTGGAACCAAAATGCAGCGACCTCAGGCATACGCTGGGTATGGAATGCCTTATTTAAATCAGGTGAGCATTGCTATTATTTAACTATTAGGAACCCGCAGAATGTCTATGGTAAGAAGATGGCAAATATGTACAGACTCTTATGATTTCGTAAACTGATTATTTCATACAGAAATATAGATTTTTATCTCTGTTAACAGTATGCGGAAAAGAAATGACAATTATTCACCCCCTCTCCCTGCTGCACCCAAATCCCGCGTGGCGTCATAAACCCTTCTACTCACCACCCCGACGTCTCATGACATCACCGCCTCTCCTCACCAACTCACGCCAATCTTAATTTGAATGGCTAAGTGGTAATGCGTCGTTGCAGAAGTTCAGGGTTCGAATCCAGCAACCACATTAATTAATATTATGGGTATATTATCCATAAATACTACATTGCATATTGTTCACACTGAACATTAGAGATCCCGTGATATTGTTCCTAAAAGAGTGTGCCAAGTGTGTTGGCTTCCAATTACGCAAAATTTGAGGTACACAGAAAAACCCTCTCTCTATTCACGAGGGATTTGTTCTTGAAAATGCACACGATTGCAGAATTCGCTCATGAGGAAACCTAGTTCCAATTGGAAAAATGGGGTGACGTTCATTGTACGAGTGGTCACCCCAGTGGTTCCTTGCCTGGTATACGTAACGTCGGGGGTTCGATCCCAACTCAGACACCTGTATTTTTGGAGTTTGGATGTTCTCCCCGTGGTCAGATGGATTTTTCTCTGGGTACTCAGGTTTTTCGCCTCCATATTTAGAAACATGCATTTAGATGATTTGGCTGCGTTAAATTACCCCTCGATAAGCCACTTCATTGAGCTATCATTTGTGGCCAAGTCATATCTGACAAGTGGGCCTTACCTGGAAAAAAAATAGTTATAAACAACCATGTGTTTTTTGTAACTACCTTGGATGATGATTTTACTCTGATGGAGGGTGGTGGTGATGTTGATGAGCTTAGGAGGTTGACTCAGTAGATGCAGGTGTTTGATAGCAATGCACAGTTATGATTTTTTAGAACACGAGCCACAACACTTTCCTGCATTTTATGCAACTCAGTCGACTTGTTCATACCTAAATGTATAAACGAGTGGATTGTAAGTATAAAGTAAACCTGCACAATAGCGAGTTCCTAGTGGGATCACTGCATTGGTGGTCTGGCACCATGTACACTCGCAAATACTGAAGTCCAGTGGGTCACGAATAGGGAATTAGTATACATTTGTAGTGACATTACTGGATGTCTCAATGCTGTGGGTGCAGTACCGGCCCTAGAGGAGCACGGTGTGTGCTGCATAAGAGCCCTGGATGGCACCACGCTTTAAGTGCAATGCCAACCCTGCAGGATAGGGTGTGTGGGTGCCGACTGAAGGATAGGGTTGTGTGAGGCCATAGCATTTTGGTTGACCCCGGAGGACACGTGACCGGCTACGTTGACAGAGGGTCCCCAAGAGGCGCCTAGGGGGGGTCACATGGTTGGGACCCAGAACCTCCCAATAATTCTGGAAGGTGGACGTGGCCAAGGGCGAAACTGGCCATGACTCAGAGAATATAAGTCGGGTCCCAAGAGGGATCAGGGTTGTTGTTCATCCAGAAAAAAAACCCTTCATCTACAATCTCCATCCAACGAGTCTCCAACACGTGGACCCGGGCCGAAGTCGTTGGTCCCGGTCCATAGTAGCAGTTACGTAATCATGAGTGCAGTTAGCCAGGTGGTCACCACATAAGGTTGTTATTCTGTTAAGGGGAAGTTATCCCATGTGTTGGAACTAAATAAATGTATTGCCTCCAAAGTCTACATCTGCGACTCAGTTGAACCCATTACACATTTGTAATGACGACTTGGCACACTTCTCTTGAGATGGGACTTTATTCAAGACACGTTCACTTGACATCAGGCAATAGCCCCGAGTCTCCTGAGAATCTCCTTTATATACAAACCGAGGCCACGCCCCCCTTCTCGATCATTCTCGCTCACTCTGGATGCTAGCTCCACAGCAGACTCTACTGTCCTCTTTCGTGACCTGACCATGCTCCCTTCTCAATCATTCCCGTAGCCACCAGTCCCTTCGCACTCAACTGATACCCCTGTCATTACCTCCCGTGGCCGCCAGTGCATTCACACTGTAGGCTGATTCCCCTGTCATTATCTCCCATGGCCAATAGTCCACTCACACCGCATGCAGGCTTTATTGTCATTATACATTTAGTTACTCGCGAAACCCACGGATTCAGAACTCGCGAATAGTGAGTGTTTACTGTACCCACAATTGAGTTAAGTGCATGAAGCCACATAGCAGCTTCGCTCCCTATTGAGAACGTATTGCAGACAGTGTCTATGAAACACCGCACCTTCCTTCATGAGAGTCTTGCAAAAAAAGAATGGTGCGAATAATAAATGTACACATAATGTGATCTGATATGTGTTATCAGCAGGTGTGGATTAGACTTCAAATGTTCTGGTTTTGACAGATGTTTGTTTCTCATCCTTTGGGAAACTACACTGCACCTGCAGCAGCTATAGTTTTGGGGTCTATCCTTGGACTGGTACTGTCTGCATTTAGTCTCTTTCTACTAAAGACAAAACGGAAATGGCTGACTTTGAAAAAAACATCGGAGCATTATGGTAAGTATAGTGTTCCATTATTATATCCAAAACGGGATGAATCTATAAAAATGTATTCTTATGCTACCATGGCGACACCGCTTGAGATCTTCCAGGTGCATGCTCTAAGTAATGATATTCAGAGACTAACTGTTACATAATAAGATAATTGTTTAGTCATTTCTCACCATACATATTTTGACACAAAAGAGTAAGGTGTTCCCTATATTTGATTGTTAAAATACACCATACCCATGTACTCTACTATCTCATTATGCGAGACCAGAACTTAATGAGCCATCTTGCATCAGTTTAATTGTTGTATATTTGCAGCCACTGCAACATTAATCTCAATTTCGTGCCACAAAACAAGACTCCAAATCCTGAGTTCTATATGCGTGCATATTCACAATCAGTAGTTTAGTCAACGACATGAATCTCATATTCTTGGTTCTTTCGGTAAAGTCACGTAGAAGGGAAACAATAAAATGATAAAAATATAAAACAATAAAATTATCACGACGCTTCGACTGCAACACAAGCAAGCATCATCAAGTGTGAAAACCACAGCAAAATGATTGCTTGTGTTGCAGTCGAAACGTCGTGAGAATTGTATTGTTTATTATTTTTATTATTTTATTGTTTCCCTTCTACGTGGCTTTACTGAAAGAACCAAGAATATGAATCCCTGCATTCATGAAAGCTTTAAATCAAAATACATGAATCTCACTCAATACTCTGCCAATGAAATTACCAGAATTTTTTACGATGTTAAACGCTTTCAAAACAAATGCAGTTAACTCTTGATCAGCGTCTAGTTAATCGCAGCTCACCTTGAGGGAACTGTTCATCACTCCAATAGACAAGCGCACCTCTACCAAACACGCTCAGTGATAGTGTTGAACAAGAGAAAGTATAAATAGTAACATGATGCAGGATCTGATGAAGAATCAGATACAAACTGAGAGAGCACTTCATGTATTGGAGACTTGTAGGAATCTAATAAGGCCTAGAATATTAGATGAGATTACAATTTGACTAATGTTTCCATCATAAAAGTTTCCTTTAAAATGTTACTAACTTGCAAATCCAGATATTATGAAAATTGTAATTGTCTATCGTTCTGCCACTATGACATGTGTGTTCCGGAATTACAATGTCTGTGCCTCCAATATATTTGGACATTTTTCTTCAATAAATAATATTTGTTTTCATAGGAAATGAATGCCTTAACCTTCAATATAAACATTTTAGCAGCACGTAGGCTTTCCCGATCAATATGAATAATCTCAGATCTAATGTATCCTAATCATAGGTTTCGGGGAGGGACAACAACGTGAACATAAACTCATTCCACTATGTTACCTGTGAATAACCCAACTAATAATTGGTAATGCATATTCTCAGGTTAACATGATCCATTGTAATTTATATTACTACATTAAACCCCTTATAGTCCTGGCACCTGATATGCTCACAATGATGGCTTCACATTTACTCTCTTTACGACTGAAACAGGAAGACTTCTTCACAATTTTTGATGATCACCTGACAAAGCTGGTTGTAATCACCAGCGAAACGTCATATTCAAATTGTAAATATTGTGGGTTTAAGGTCCAACACAGCAGTGTGCTGAATTAGTAACTAATTGGCATATTTTGTGAACTTAAACCTTGCTAATTGGCTGTGTCAGGTGTCGGGTTTAACGAAACATTTATATCAATCTAACCCAAAATTATTTTTATGGACAGCTATGTTTGTTGACTATGAGCTGAGATTTTTGGTGGCCATCGAAAATTTTCCTACCTTTGACAACATGTTAGAGGTTCCCAAATCCATATTTTTCAACAGGCTTTGTTCTTTAAAAAAACCCCTTTACACATTTGCTCAGATAAACCGGTTAGACGTATTATATGAGGTTATATTTATTACTTGTCCTTTACTAAGAGATCATGGAATTGCGGTAGAAAAGAAGATGGTTATATGATGCTTGCAATAACGTGAAATTAATATTTGTTTAGGAAGATACAAGGAATATCATATTCGGAAGAACTGTTCAGCAGTGGCAGGTGTAGAGATAAGCCAGAAGGCTACTACAGGGAATGATGAACGTAGATCATTGCTGAGGAGTCGAGTGGAAACGGCAAGGGAACGGGAGAAAATCAATTTGTGGTGGAGACACTGAAAATGCTTTTTAACACCGGGACACTGATTAGCGTCCATCAGCACAATGTGGGGAACGACTTTGCTGCTTTCTTGGTCTGCAGTTTCACAGCACTCTGCTACACTTCTATTTTAGTTGTTTCCTACTGATTACTTCTGATTGGACACTAACGTTCAATACTACTTTTCATTCGGCAACACTGCAGCCACTTATTTGTGACATTTTCAAAACAGTATTAAAATGTTCGTAGTATAAATGACCTCTTTGAATTGAATATGGGTTCCAATAATTGAATGTTTTGCTCTGCTACCAGAAGGAAATTATCAACCATATGAAGTATTAAGTGAATCGTTTGTAACTTAATTTTACGGCATTTATTTCACAGGCATTGCTTATAGAAAGAATAATGATGAAGGCGAAGAACTTGCTGCTCTTGTGTTCATTGAAGTTCAGGTACAATCAACGCAGCATGTTTACACATTGACTCCAACATTCATTATTCATTGTGTAGGCTTACTCACAAGGACAGCTGTGGGCTTCATCCCTCATTAATCAGATCCCGTGTTCTCCACTACAGGGGAGCCAGAAGAGTGAAACAATGAAACTCATCCGAGAGAACCAAGAGAATCTCAAGGCCTGGATCGGAGTAGATCCCTCACACCTCCTGGAGCATCTCAAGGACTATGAGTGGATTCCTCACCACGTTTACAACGCAGCCAGGAAGAGGCACGGAGAGGAGTGTGTGGAGCACATACTGGACCACTTCTTAAAAAAAGGAGACACAGGCTGTAAGGAACTGTGGGAAGCACTCTTCTTTGTGAGGAAGCACTATTTGCAGCTGTGGAGGTGGCTTCACAACCGAGGTATGACCCACGTTCATTATAACAAGAGTTGCGTACTGGCAGTGAATTGATTTTGTATGGCTTTTGTTACAATTGTAGTGAATCTTTTCAGAGACGCGATTTATGATGCAACAACGTTAATTCTACACTTCGTGCAACACCGTTACACACGAGACTAAATACACCTATCTCTCTTGTTACACATAGGACCACAATACACCTATTTCTCTCGCATACAGGATAACTATAATCGGGTCAGAGCAACCAACGTGCTGCCTGACCCACGATGTCGAAGACAAAGACGTAGATATATCACTTGGGTTCCACTTTACCTGCAGATAGGCCCGTTATACGATCGGAGCTCCCCTTTTATCCTTCCCAGCGCGGCCTGGCTCCACCCTCGGCCCCGCCTACCTCTGGAATTACACCACACCTGTTCCCTCTCTGGCTCTGCTCTTAACCACGCCCCCTTCGGGAACTCTCTAGACGTTTCTCAGCTCCTCTTTCCGTGTCCCGTCGTTCACCCTTGGCCCACATTCCTCACCCCAGCCCATCACGTGCTTAACCCGCTGATGGGGTGACTCGTCCTCGCATGCCCCCCCCCTGCCGCCAGCCACCCCCACCACACTCCCCCAGTGACCGACTCTGTGGCGATTACCTGCGGCGCTGGCAGAGGCTGTTATCCCCTACTCTGTCGGTAGTACTCATCTGGCTTCCTTCTGCTAGCACCCAGTACCATGCCCCTAGTGGCGCATTGAATGGTACTGCATGGTGTGTGAGGCTCTGTGCCCATTTCTGCAGCACTTGGCGCTACGCGCCATAGTGATCCATTTAACATCACTACACAATGAACAAGGAATAAAAGTCATTCATATGCTTGGATTCCGTACAACTTTGCAGCTTGTGCTTGCCCTTTCAAATAATTAATCAGTTATGTTCCGTGCCACAAAACAAGATGGCACTCACCAAGTGGCATGTGACTGAACAGCTTCATGTTAAATGCCGTAATGCTTGAGTACAATTATGAACCCATCTCTGCTTCGCCTCTTGATTCTTTTAGCACACTTGTGGTAAAAGTCAATAGCAATGAAAAACATACCCGTGACATTTATTCAACGCTGTCAATCACAGGTGACGCAATACAGTGCATTCGAGAGAATAAGTCAGCTCTGAAGCTGTGGATCAGTAGGGACCCACACCATCTCCTACAGCATCTGAAAAGACAAACATTCATCCCTAATGCAGTCTTCGCTAAAGCCAAGGGCATGAATGGCGGCGAGAAGGGTGCAGAGCTACTTCTAAATTACTTCATCAAGAGAGGCAATGATGATTGCCTCCAGCTGCTGATTTCCCTGCAAGCCGTGCAAGATGAGTATCCTGAAGTCAAACAGTGGCTGGGCTCTCTTGGTAAGAAATTATTTTATTTATAATGCCTTACACCTCTTTCATGTAAACAACGGGAAAGATGATCATTTGGAGGACAAGCAGACAATCGTAACTCTGCCACAGCAGCCCTGTAATCTTAACACGTAGGTTTTTGCAACATCATGATTCATTTTGATTTAAAGCTTTCGTGACAACAGAAATTCATATTCTTAGTTCTTTCGGTAAAGTCACGTTGAAGGGAAACAACAAAATAATAAAATATATATAACAATAAAAATTCTCACGACGTTTCAACCATAACACAAACGGTCGTCTTCAGGTGTGTTGGTTTGCATAAATTTATTTTTAAAACGGAGCATTTATTTATAAAAAAAAAAACGTTAGCGCCACGCGCAGCGATTTGGCAGTTTATTTAGAACTAGTCCATCTATATTCTGAAAAGAGGAGGGGGGAGACGAATTTTTTTATGTATGCTGTCTGAAAGGCACTGTAAGCGTGAACAATCAATTAAGACCTGAAATGGTTTATCAAATCTTTCCAATGATTGCTAAGATAGAATCCATCTTCTCGGTTGAAATTGTCTCTGTGCTTGTATATGTGGATAGCCTCATGAACGAATCTCTCATGGTAGCCAGATGGCTTACAAAGAACCTCTGTCTTGGAAAAGTCAATGGCATGTGAGCCTACTGAATTATAACAATGATCTGCCACGGCCGAGGTGTTGGTCCTACCGTGTTTAAGGTCTGCTTTGTGTTCACGAATGCGGTCCGAGACATGGCGTTTGGTTTCTCCAAAGTAACTACTACCACAGAGGCAACTTAGTTTGTAGACACCAGGGTATTGTATGTCCGGAATCACATCTTTTACGGACGGAACCAGATCACGGATTTTATGTAATGTGTTGAAACGGACCTGGATCTTGTGTTTATTCAAGATTTTGGATATCTTTTTTGTGATCCCCGCAATGTAGGGTAAAGTGATGGTTTTGAAAGGCTCCTCAAGAGTGTCCTTCTTCATGGTTTGAGTGATAGCTTTGCGGATTGTATAGTCGGAGTAACCATTAGCCCTAAGAGCTTGGTGTACGTGCTTGAGTTCACTGCCTATGTGTTCCTGGTCGGATATGCATTGGGCTCTATGATACAGAGTCTTTTTGAGAGAATTCTTCTGTAATGGATGGTGGTGGGAATCCGGTTTCAGATAAGCATCCGTATGGGTAGCTTTCCTGTAGACAGAGTGGCTCATTGAACCATCAGGTCTCTTTTTAATTAGGACATCCAAAAAAGGTAGCTTGCCATCTATTTCGACTTCCATGGTAAATCTGATGGCTGGGTGTATGGAATTGATGTGGTCGAAGAATTGGTCTAGAGCAGGCCGGCCATGTGACCAGATGACAAAAGTGTCATCCACGTACCTCTTCCATAAGGTTGGGCGCAGAGTGGCAGTCTGGATGGCGTCAGTCTCAAATTTCTCCATGAAAATGTTAGCTATAACCGGAGAAAGGGGGGACAGGGAAATACCCTTGATTGTCGATACCAGGTGAGTAGAATTTTGTACCACAGAGGTGGTTTTTCCAGTGAAAGGACGCAGGATTTCAGACAAAAAAACGGGCTAGTTTGTAGGTGGGGGAGTTGATAGTAGAGACGATGGGACGAAGGGGTGTATCTACTTTATGTATTTTTGGTAAGCCGTATAATCTTTGTGGCCTGGCAGCAGAAGGTTTCAACGAAAACTTTTTAGATTGATCAATTAATGCGGTTGAATCAGAAATTATTTTGTTGATTTGTGTGACGAGGCTGTTGGTGGGATCTCTTTTTATTTTTGTATAACTACCATCGTCGAGTAATTCTTTAATTTTGTTGTTGTATTCTATTTTATCCATGATGACAGTAGCATTGCCTTTGTCAGCTGAGAGGACTACAATATCATCCCTCTATTTTAATTTATATAATTCAAAACGCTC